CTCCGCAAAACAACAGTTTTGAAGGTCCTATGTAACCCCATTATTATCTTCTCAAAAGGGTCCCTAGAAAACGAAGACCCTAAAAAAAGAACCCCTCCCCATCAATTATCGTTTTATTGGTTCTTTGAATATTGCACGAATCGAATACGTCGATTGTAATATGTACTTTAGACACGATCGATTAATCATTTGGTTTCAACAGCAGGACAAGAAATAGAAAATGGTTGCCTTTTAAGATGGTGGATGAAACTGTGAAGACCATTCATGTATCTCGTAATAAAGCTATACCAATTTAATAGAAAACACAGCAATTCTTTATTGAGTAACTGTGTTTATTTCTGTACATTTCTTGTAACTTATTAAGAGCGAAAACACTCACATCGTGACAATATTGACATACACCTGTTTGCTAAAAAAACGTCGACCAAAATAACAATTACAAAAAGAGAATTGGTAATTATGTTTTCAGATCAATACTTAACAATATAGACAGATTGGCTGAACTGTATCAATAAAGAAATAATGAAGAGTCAAAAAGGTAGAAACTTGAGCACAAATGTCATCAAAACGTCCTTTATTTTCCCTTTTCTATTTTCCATTTGAGTCAACTTTTTCAAAAACAGGTGAGTCTATCAAKCCCTAAAATAATAACCCTCAAATAATRCTTTAATATTATCTTAATGATCATGCATATTTGTTTGTTGACAGTGGTGAAATGAGKTTGTTGTGGACTTTCTGTGCCCTTTTTGACATTAGCACAGGAAGCCCAAAACTAAATGAATAAGTTATTTCGAGAAGTAAACATACTTAATCCATTTAACTTAATGAGTACAAAGTAGGAGCTACATTCCAATTAACACTATTTAGTAGCATAMATTTGTTCTATTTGTTTATCTACAGGAATGTACCCTATCCATAACTATATCTTTTGATTATGAAAATTTAAGACAAACAATAGACCTGTGAAGATCTTACAACATATACCATATACGCAATGCATTGTAGGATATGTTTCGGACAAAACATGGCATATTTCTTTTGTTTTCTCCAGAAATTATCCCACAATGCATTGCATCAGAGAGGTGAGGTAAAAGCTTCAGAGGTCTATTGGGATATTTTGTTGCCATCCTGTCGTATCTAGTATGATAAAAGTAAAATAGTAGATCCAGATGTTGCAATATTAACTTAAATTTTGCTCTTGTCTTATATATGTAATAATCACACGTTTCCTTTCTAAGGGASCACATGCTGTAAGATTAATTTTGTATTCTGAAGTCTGTTTTCTAAATGCAATGTAGTTCATGCTACAAGTAATTAAGTAATCCTATTTGCAGGGCTGTCAACCCCAGGCAGTTTCATATCTTGAGGTCAATAAATCCACCATTTTGCTTAGATTTTTCAAAATGCTGAAACTGGCAAAAAAAGTAAAAAAAAATTATATGGTCTCAGTATTTCACTTTAATCATAAATGAGGTCTCGTTTATTGGTGAATATACTTCAAAAGTATGGGGKTTTTGCCATTTTCTTGGAATACTGGGAGATTCTATGTTGAATTCTTGAGACTGGGAGATAAGTCCTAAAATCTTGAGACTCACAGATTATCTGGAAGAGTTGACAGCCCTGCTATTGGTTATTTAGTGAAAACTAAAACTGATTTGCACTATGATCAACACTATATTTCACACAATGAGTCTATATACTGTAAGTCCGTAAATTCCAATAAAAACCTAGAGGTATGAGTTTATTTTGATTTTTTTTCAAAATGGAACAATTTAAAGAGAAATGTATATATCTGAGAGTATAAGCCATATTTCSTATAATTTAATAAATTTTAAACCTCTATTGATTTTCAGTTGAACCTACATCAAGTTGAGCTTCTGAGTTTTCATGGCTCATTTTGTCTTGGATTGAAAAGAAAAAGATGTTCTARGCCATTTTGGCAAATAGTTTATTCCATGTARACTGTACAAAAGCATTCTAAATATTCTACAGAAACCAGCCTTCATTACAGAGCATTTAAAATTAACAGAAGTGCTTATAATTGCATAATTGCTAGGTCCTTGGGAGGTGTATGATGCTATACATGTACATGTATATAGTTGTCATATAATATATTATATTATTCACAACACAAAAAACTCATAAGAGTTGTATAATACAAATAATAATATCTAACTTGACAATATCTTATCATAATATAATATACAATGTGTACTCACAGATCATTTAACCTGATCTTGGCTTTAATTTAAGTGACTTTTCAAAGAGATCATCTTCATTCAAGAATTGGTTGAAGCCACCAAAAAACTGTCTTATGTTATCATTGACTTCAAAGTCATACTGCATTAGCTTAAACCTCCTAAAGGTATCCAAAATGTTGAAGAGTTGCCATCGCTTGACAAAATTCACTTTGCCATCAGGGAGTTCATCAACATTGCCTAAACACACAAATGTCACATCCTGCAAAATCAGCCCCAAGTAGGGGATGCATGGGGGAGTTGCTTCAGCAAGTGCATTACGGTAAGCACGGAATGATGATGAGCTGTCAATCAAATCAGTGTACTCTGCTAGCTGATCTAAGTAGTGTCTTGGCCAATCCAGTCGGCGCACAGCAGAACAATCCATTGCTGAGAGAATTGCCAGAAATGAGTTAAAGTTGTTAAAGCGCCGCAAATGCTTCATKATTTTGAGGAACTTTAGGTAAACCTTCTCTCTGTCCTGYGGTTTTTCAAACGACAAAATGTATGAYCTGGACCAGTACGACACTTTGTTGAAGTGATCWGTAAAAACCACAAGGTTTGGGCTGTTGGACTCACTTTGCTCCTTTCCCCATGCTAGAATCTCTGGAATCTCAATGGCAGCAAAGTTAGTTGCATCAATTAATGTTAGCTGTTGTGCAATTTCACAAGCATGGAAGTCAAAGATGGTGGATTGTGTCCTGGGACTGTTAGGAAGTGCAGCTGTTGATGATGTACTTCGATCTCTGTTGTAGTAGTTGTCACACTTTTGAAGCATCTTGTTTCTGAGGATTTTTCCTATGTACAGGTCTCCATTGCTGACAAGACGGTACACTTCTTTCATGAGTTGTTCAAGAATGCTTCTTTCTACTTTGCCTGTCAGTTCATCAATGACTCTTAATAGCAAGAAAAATGAGTTCTGACTGGCTTTCTTGTGTCCTCTTTCCCTGAATCTTCTTTCTCTGTACAACAACTTGTTGATCAAATCTTTGGGTGAAATGAATGTTCTGTAAGTTGTCAAAAATGCTTCATAGAAAATCATGTCAGTCTTGCTGGCACCTGCTGCATGGACAATCAGTGCATCAATAGCTCCTCCAATAAGCATGTTGCCCTGGCCATCGTCTCGATAAACCAGGAACCTGGACACGTCAAGACAGTCCAGTGCAGGAGTAGATTCATCTTCCTCCAAACTACTGACACTGCTACTTGAGCTTGCACTTGTATTGCTGGTCTTGCGGCTACTGCTTTCTTCGACTAGTGACAGTAGCTTTTTCTTTGGTGATTCATTTGATCTGTTATTTTGATTCCAGTCAATAACAGTCTCTCTAGTGGGAGATGGTGATGCAAGATGTGGAGAAGAAACAGCATGATATTCCACTTTTCCATTTTGAAAATAGCTGCGTTGTACACTAAGGGAATGTAGGGCAGAAGAACTGCTGCTGTGTGATATGCTCCTTCTAAATGTTTCCTCATATCCATCAAAAGCAGATGTTGGACGACGTAGGACATCCTCAGATGGCTTGTTGTAGCTGCCTAGTAGCTCAATATAAACCTGAAATGACTTTTTTGTCCTTGGAAAAGGTGGTGGTGGTGCATCATGGTTTTCAACCACACCAACAAATGTTGCTGGGATGACATCATGCTCCCCTGGTCCATCAACATCATCCATGGAATGAAATGAACCATTCAAAGAGCTACAAGCTGAATGGAAAGCTGACCTTCCAAAATCCTGGGAACTGCTTGGAGACCCTAAYGGTGATCTGAAACCTTCACTACTAAGTTCTGAGTCTCTTGATGCATTACTAGACAAAGTTAAGTGTCTATTTCTTCTTGGCGGAGAGAGAAATTGACCAGAGTGATTCATATTGTCATTGTGATTACATGTAATAGGGGGATCCAATATACAGTTATAAGATCCTCTCCCTGAGTCTCTGGATGTAGAYGGAAAGGKTGACTTAGGGGGTGGTGATTCCCTCATGTCACAAGTTCCACTTCCTTCACTGATYCCAGAGTCTCTTCTATTCCAGACGGATGGCTCRTCAGCATTATCACCGCCAACAAGAATGCTTTCAGTGCTTCCTTCAAAAAGAAAGATCGAATTTCGGATTTCTTCTTGAACATCAAGTTTTCTYAATCTTGGAATTGCAGTTTCAATCAGTTCTTGAACAGTAGTTTCTATGGTACTGATATATTGTAGTCCTTCTTTTAAGTCGCCTTTGACATTTCCTCTTACAAGTAATTGATCAGTCCAGCGAATTAGGTCGCCAACAGCTTTATGAACAGCCTTGCGGTATGGTAATAAGTCACTATTGACTTTTTTCAATCGTACACAAGAAGAACTCAAAACATCATCGATACTAATAACAGAATCCAAAACAATTGCAGCATTGTCAGGAATCTTAGCCATAATAATATCAATAGTCATCTTTTCAATAATAAGACAAAAATATTTCACCGCACTACGAAGCTCTTTATGCAGCCTTTCGAGTTCTTCGAGATTTACAGCTTGTTGACTTTTGCGTGGAGTCCGTCGTAGTGTTTCGTCATTAGTTGAAGGACTATCAGTTGTAGAGTTCTTTTTCTTGTTATTGAATGATGCTCGACGTAAAATCTTCAATAGCTTTCGTCCTCTAGGAAGGGTCATAGTWCCTCGACCAGATTCACCGTCTCTTCCCATTAATTTGTGAAAAGGACTAGCCATATTATCATATCATCATGGCTTATTCTTCGTCTCGCTTCATAGATTTAATTCCGCTCGGTAAAATTGAAGAGAACTTTTCGTTTCGAACCCAGAACAGTTATTGTGCTATGTGTTATCTCTGTTGAATAATCAAATAAAGCTACCAACAATAATTCAAAAGACCTTTACATAATCAAATCAGGGTTGTCGTTTTGCCGCCTACATACGTCGGGTAGTTTACTTATGCCCGCTGTTGTTTGATTGCGGTAGAAGGCGGACAGTTTTGCTGCTTTTGATGCTCAATTCCTTCACTACCAGATATCCACTCTAGCTGAAGCAGTATTTTGTTGCAAATATCGACCAATATGTTTCGTGATTATTGAATGTCGTTCGTGAACTTTCACAGTTTAGCTTTAGTGTTTCGCAAGCTACCAAAATGTGTCATAATTATCGGCTAAATTACATCAAGATCGGCTTCTTCAAAGAYGTAACAGCCTCAGACATACAAGTTTGATGTCGATAGACGCCTTTTGACCAACAAGGAAGTGTAAATGTTCTGAATTTCGGTTTCTTTTCAGAGATATTTGTAAGGTTTTGGTTGCAGTCATAAAGCACTTTCCACTGGAACGTGAAACATACCAGCCAATGACCCTGGGGTCTGACCTGCGATCTGATTGGCTAATGAAACAATAACATCAAAGAAGAAATTAATGAACGCATTTGGTCACAAATATTGGGAATATTTGGCCTCCTTTTATGGATGGCACAATGATTGTCTCAAAATGTCATGGTCTACGAGGTACAATACATTATACCCATMTAACTGGTGGTTGAGCAATTGTAAAGTCAATGATTTCCGGTCGTAACAATTGTTMAAAACCTCAAGTGGGAAATTTAGTGCTTCGAAATATCCAGTTAGACKAATAAAGCATTATCCAACATTCCATTCCATGTATACCACAGAGAACTTGTCTCGTCTCGCTTTGATATTGTATTATTTGCTGGGTTGGTACGATAAATTATTTACCCAAAACACCGCACCCGAGGAAAGATAGCCACAAAGTCGATCATAGATATTCATTGGAAAACAAAACAAAATATTCTTAATTACTCCCTAATTTCATCAKATATTTAAAGAAAAAGAGGATAAACAATTATGTTTTCATTATATAAAAAAAACTCCGAAACTGAAAAACATATTTTAGTTTTCGTGGTCTGCAAATATACGTGCATGATAATGACGTCACACTCTAAACAGTATGACTTCCTGTCACGCTGCTACCGGAAGTTGCGTGATTTGTAAGACACACCTATTTGAATATGCTTCCTCTCAAGCATATCACGCAATAACCACGTGCATTGAATACCTGACTTATACGGACAACTTCAACATATTGCTGTTCTACCATCCCAGAGCGTCAAATAAACTACCACACGTGATAACGCAGTCAAGTTGCTTATAGTAGTAGAGGGTTTGACAGAAAAACTARTAGGGTCTAGCAGTAAAGAGACCGTAGACTAAGATATCCCCCCCTTCTTTCACGATTCCTCGGTTCGCGCATTAGGTCTATGGATACAGAGTTCATCATTTTAATGAGAACCATACCTACACTAACAATGTTCCCGGGCGCGCATAATAATTATTTATTTAAAATCAGAGATCTGTCCCAGTTTGAACACGCCAAAGCGACTGAACATGAAAGGTATCCGGAATGCTTTACAAGACAGACGGCGGCCCGTAGTATAGAGGTGCCCAAGCGACTTCAATATTCAAATGRATCGATGACTGCTCAAATTCCTAGACATTTAGTCGATGCGGTTTTCATTCTAAACCCAATAATTTTCATTCTCGTACAGCAGCCTTTTGCAGCTGGTGGTGTCCATGTATCACTTTATTCATTTGAAATGTACTTTGACATTTGCCGAATCAAATTCTTCTCTAAAGACTGTACTCTGACATCGAATATGAAACAATTAATTCCAAATTCCACTTCTATCACGTGCTTTTATCAAAATAAACTCTAACTTGATTTTCAATCTTTTCAGTAATAGTTATCTTGGCTATAATTAGGCATTTCAAGCATGCATCACGGGTCTGCCTATTATAGCACTGTCCGTTTTAGCCGTTTAACCGATCTAACTGCCAAGAGTGGCAARAGTCACGTTTCATTTTACTTCTCAGAAGGAAGTCTTCGTTGTTTTGATATCGATGACGTAGCGTGTCCACCCACTAGAACTCTGCCTGCACCAGCACCCCAAGTAACACACCCCCACCGACACACCCTCCCACGCCAGAGCACCCTGCGGACATGTAAAAACTAGAGCAAAAATGATACAGTCCTGATTGAAGATAATAGTAATATCGTCAACGTCCCCAATAATGTCAAACTAGCACCCCCTCCCTCCTCTCCCCAATTCTTGAACCGCTGACCAACTAAACTGYGGTAATCCAATATGGCGGACGAAAGAGTGCATGTGTGCGCTTTGGAGGATTCAGATGACAAAAGCCTGGTTTTGTCTCTTTTCAAAGAGGTTACTAATATTTCTCAGCTCAGAAATCATGTCATCAGTGGATATATTGAAGCAACGCTGCTTAAACCTTCTATGGTAAGAATCAAACTTGCAAAATACAAGATCCGTTACAAAGCTAACTTTATTCTGTTTTTAATGAACTTTTTCGTCAAGTTTAGAGTACAAACATTAAGCTAAATGTGTGGAACACTTTCCACTGTTTACTACAAAATAGTGTTAATTAAACAATAGAATTAGCATAATTTATTAGTATTCATAGTGGTATTTATGTTGCACAGTTTTAGTGTTTGTACTCTATGAATTATCCTCTGTATTTAATATTGACATGTTTTCTTTTTTCCTGCTAGCAATTATACCTTAGAAAATCCCATTTTTGATCGAGTAGTGGTACTGATGATGATGATAAGCTTAAGTAACCCCTGAAAACTTCTATATAATCTTTATAGTCCTTCCTGAAGATTTTGATCATCTTTAGGAAGCTTTGCGATAACCTGTAGTCCAGTCCAGTCCATTTTCAATCTGCTTTATWTAACTAYTTATCGCTGGTAGTGCAAAAGATCCTGGATTATATGCTTAAGCGCATACATGTACATTTTRGGATACCATCATAATTTATATTTTTTTGTGTGGCTCGGTCACTAAGCTATATATGGAGTCCAGGRGTCTTTTGTGTCTGAAGATTTCCAAAATCAAGGATCCAAATTTCATTTTTGTTTTTGGGCWGCTAATAATGCTCATCCAAGAGTAAATTATTGTTTCCKCTGTCAAAGTTGCAATGAGATCTGTTATGCAAATATGCTCCAATCTTTCGTTTGTATTAATTAATAAACTGCAATTGTACATTTGTGGCACCAGTGTATGAAGTCAGGAAAACACACATTCTATTTTCTCGGGCAAGTCAGTGATTAAGTGTAAAACACAGAAATTCATCATTCATTGTTAATTTATTGAGATATTTCAAACAGATTACAGATATYTTCCAAGTGATCATAGCAGCTCATAAAGCTGTCCATTGCCAGAAATTTAATAAAGTAAAGACAAAGACCTTACATTCTGAAATTCTCTTCAACTTATCACCAACAAACAGTGTAGGTATTTTGTTTGTGTAACTAGAGAGCATCAYTCACTGAATTAATCCTGTAAATGTTGTTTGTTATTTGTTGTATTATACACACTTTAAATTTATAATACATTTGGAATAAATTATCGATAATGTCAGACTCATATGATATCATCTTAATCAACAATCCTATAGACGAAATGATGAAAACTAGTGGTAAACTATTATGTAATGTTTACAACATGAGCAGCCATGTTGTATGGGATTTTACTTTTGAATTACTTGTGAAACGTTTAGGTGTATACATTCATAATCTACTAAAAACTTAAAGCTAAAATTGAATTTGGCTGAGAAAATTAGATTTTGAAGTTTATGCAAATCAAGACAGTTTTGTATCAAATATTACAACACTCTTCACGGTTGTGATTTCTATTGTGTTTTCCTCATTAATTATTCATGGTTTTACAATGTAACATGCAAGGGGTCAGTTTGTTGTTGCYAGTTAATCAAAAATATTCTACTTGAAAATGTACCTATATCAGCAATTTTACAATYATTATTCAAAGGACAAAGGCTTTTTTTATTTTTATATGTATTTGTAAGGGTGACGGAAGAAGTTTTTCATTCAGCCTGATTTGTTCATTTCACAGTTTTCGTTGCTTATTTGATTATCYTTCAGATTAAGGATGCGTTTAATAAGTTTGGTGTTTCAGACCAAGACAGTAGTATTTTGGTGGCTTTGATAACATCAGAAGATCCTCAACATAAGGTAAGAAAACATTTTTGCTTCMAAAAGKRTGCAAGAATAGTCMAGGAATGYATTTYACCTGTKCATCTCAGACCTTTGCCTTACTATTGCAATAGTCTTGAAAATGTGCATTTTCCCCAAGTTGTATACGTGAATGTCACGTCTCTCATAATGACTGACACTAATTAGCATATTAATTATCACTCTATTAATATTGTTGACAAATGAAAACACTCAAATGGTAGATAAAAGATAAAAGATAAACTCTGAAAGTTTCACAGAAAAATATTAAATCCTCTTGAAGTTATAAGGGTTAGAAGAGGTACGAAAACACCAAAACGAGGCTACCCAGTCACTAGCTAAGAATTCCATACAAATCCCTGTATTTATATTCCTCGATAACTTTGTTAGTATTCAGTCCATGACTTTAAAATTTTCCATGAATACCTATTTCTAATAGGTCTTCCATATGACAGTGTTGAATGCTTCCATAATATTATAAATTGTATAAAATCAATGGTAGGCAGTTATGAAAGTGGTCTATAAGACCTAAGGTTTTGTGTTTGGTAAGATAAAATAGCAGTTAATCACTTTGAATTCAAAAATGGAGTTTGTTAGATACATTATATTTGTCAAAAATGGAAATTGATTGAAAGGATTGTAATATCTGTGAAATTGTACTGAGACAAGTGTATGGTAGCCTGCATAACATCTGGTTTACACTGGATGAACTCAGGCTAGTGTATAAAAGCCATTTGAGCTGAAGGGCAAATTAAGAAATACATTAGTATGGGAGATTCATTTTGTCATGCAGCATTGTTGCTGTTTGACAAGTTGAGAGACAATGTCTCCCATTTTTCACGTTGTATGAGTACTGGCAACTTGTGACCATGAAAAATAAGRCATGCTGACTGTAAACTTGATCAGCAGCATTTTGAGCAACAAGCTTAAGGCATTTTGTAACTCGTATTTGTTCACTTTGATTGAAATTCCCTTTTTTTTAGATGAAAGAGATAAGTCAAMTTATACAGGGAAAGCAAGTCTCACTGGATGAATTGAACTCTTTTACCAATGAAAGTACTATAAAAAAGGTTTGTTTGTAATCAAATGATTGACATTCTGGTTGTAAATGTAATTATTTTGGGCTTCCTGTGTTTTTAGGTATATAAGATACAAGATGGTGAGGTTGGTTCYCTTTTAGAGGCTGTTCTATGTCGTATGGCTGCCAAAGACTGTGTTTGATAGTCAGGTACTTTGAGATCCAATCTAACATGTAAAACTGAGTTTATTTAATACATTTAAGACAGTACCATAAATCCGTGAAAAAA